CACATGCAAACCCTTTTGCACCTTTTGCTAAAAGTACAAACTGCTCTAAGGGGTGATTTGTGGAAAATGATAACAAAGATGACGGCTCATCCCTGTCCATTGCCATGGCATTCATGGTGCTATTGTATATAAAATTTCACTATTTCCAATAATAATACAAACTGAGTCTTTTACAATTTTGTGTAAATAGAACTTTTAAAAATTATTATTTTTGCACTGCACTGTGAAGTACTCTTATTAGTTTGTGATGAAGTGACAAGCTGACAAGTGACAACTCTAACCATAGACTCTAACTGTCACATCAAATGTCAAAATAATCTATTATTGTCAAATCCATAGACGTATATAAAACATATTATCGCACTATATAATAGTGGAATACAGCTGTAACTCAAGATATATTCAATTTGTGATAACATCATATTCAAACGCAGAATTCAGTTCGCTACGCGTCAATAATACCGTCGTTAGAATAGTACAATAAACAAATAAGAGATAGTTATACATACGTAGTTAAATGCATGACCATAACGATTCAAGCGTAAGCGTAGGCGTAGATTGCTGAATTGCGTCTGGAAGACGGGTGGTCTTTCCTGTGAATACTGATAACTGTTCTTTAGCTTAAAGATCTAGAATAAGAATTAGGATAGTCTTAGTTTGGCTCGCACATGTATCGCACATGTAGCCTTAGGTTAGAATCCATCGCGGATTAATTAAGTAGTATATAAGTAATGTATCGCACATTAATAGTTATAAGTTTATTAATAAAGTCTTTTTAAAAACGTCCTGAGTCAATTTCGAATCTTGACTAGATGGCTCCATTTGTCATTGTTTATGATTGACCGACTGTTGTAAACCCCCACCCAATATTGTATCATCTTATTCATCTTTAGTTACGATTGAAACTCGGCTAAGAAGGGTGTGCCGCATTGTGTTTTAGACCGTATTAATTCGAATTGGAACGTTATTGCTGAACAGGTATGTAAAAAATAAACCATTTAATTCCAGTTAATACATTACAGTTGATTTAAACCTATAGATAAATTTGGTGTATTTCTAGTTGTTACACTATTATTGATTCACAAAAATGAGATTTATAATAATATTTTTACTTACGACATTCTTGTTGGTTTAGTAAGTAATTTTAGACGTAATACAGTTTTGTTGAATAATTATTACCTTGTTTCTTGTATAATTCATTTAAACAAATACTTATTTGTTAATCAAATCATTTAAACTTACGCATTCAAACATGTTAAAGTAAAAATAAGAATATTCTTATTAACTATTTTTTTTTAATTATTTAGAGTTGTTACATTCTTGTTGACATACAATATAGTCGTATAAGGTGACTTACTCAATAAATAATTGTTTTTATTTGTAGAATAAGTATGCACCGTGGGCGATTGCTTGTGGATATGGCGACAAAAACAAAGTCAAAAAATCACGAATCGAGGAAATCGACGAACTTTCATCATTGAAACCGGTGAGTGCAAACAATAAATGGTCTCAGAATGATGACAACGAAGCTGCGAAAGAACAAACGGCGTCCTCGACAACTTCACCTTCTACAATAATTAATTAAATTTAGGTAAAGTAAAGTTCTTCAAGAAATTAACGTGAACAATACACTCAGTACGTCTTGTAATGTTGCATCAATGACCCAATCCAACCAAACGAAAAATTACATTTCACCCCTGCACCCTGATGAGAGTGATTTCGATGATTCCGACTGTGACACTCATTTTATACCTGGTTCAACCCGTAAAGCTCCGAGTTTACTTTGAAGTGGTGCAACAAAATCGTCATGTAGTTCTTCGTCAAGAAGCTCTTCTTACAGTAGCTCTTCATCAAGTAGCTCGGATCAAGAAACTGAGAATGCCTTAAATCCCGTTGCATCAACTAGTAGATCAGAAATTCAAACGGCTACAGAATCAAATGTTCCCTTAGAGGTGCAAGACAACAGAAAAGGCAAAAAGAGGGTACGTAATGTATTAAATTGGAAAAGTAAAATAGCTAAAATGACTAATGATAAATTTTATGATCTTAAATTATTTCAAGAGCAAGGGGGTAACAATTTTAATGTAAACACTGATAGGAACCAAGTAAAATGGCACGACATTAAGGTGCTTCGTGTTGTAAAGGAACATCCAATGACTTTTTTCTATAAGAATTCTTACGAAGAATAAAACTACAATAATGTTTCCGTACGTAATACACGACGAGCTGGGAACCAAACGTTGGATTTATTTTCAGTTGGATTGACACAAGCATATACGAGTAAGATACCTTTAAATCAAAATAAAATAGAGACAAAAAGAACTGCTCGACAAAAATATAATTCTCAGGTCCTATTATGAATCATACTTTCGAGCTCTGATTTATTAGTTTTAACTAATTAAAAAAAGTATTATTATTAACACTGTGATTTGTAATGTTAATTAATTATAACTAGCGCTCTCTTAAACTTGTTTAAGTATACTTATTATAATATAAATTCTTTCGCCTAGGTCCAGTTTGATGACTACGTACCATTACTGTGCAATTACAATAGTAATTAATTATTTATATGTATGAATAATTATAATATTTTATTTTCCCCTGTTTTTTACACTAAGACAAATTATTTTGTACTAGTTTTGGAAGGCTTATTTTGTTATTTTTTTATTTAACTAAGTACAAATGTTTAAATAACATTTTAATTATCTTTTTTATAATACAGACTGAATATGTGACTTTTTTTCTTGATTACCTGGTTTTATTTATCAATGTCCTAACTTTAGTATGAAAATAATTATGTTGATGTTGGAAAACCAATTTAAAAATTGTTGTAACTCAAAATGTTACTCAAAACCACAAAAAAAGTCACCTTAAAATTGTAGTAACTCAAAGTGTTTCGACAATAACTATACAACTAAAAACAATTCATCTTTCTGAAAACTTTGTTCCGGACTATACAGTCTTAACTCAAAAATTGGTAATTATATTTATTACCGACAAATTAAAAAAAATACGTGTGGCATTCGGGGACTGCCGCGGTAAAGCTATTGCATAGCATTTTTATCAACTTATGCAATTACAATTATTTATTTATTTTATTTATTCAGTATTTTTTTTCTTTGTTAGCAAAAATGTTTGCTCCATGCAGAAATCGAACCCATGATCCGCTACGCTGCATTCGGGTGGTTCAGCCACTGCGCCAAACGTGCCATCAAAAATAATATATAAATATAAAAAATATATTTAAGTATAAAGTCTGTGTTTATTAAATACTCTAAATTCACGAAAGTTGCTAGCATGACGGCGACTCATATTAATCCAAAGAATATACTTCTTGCAATAAACTATATTATTGTTTAAAATATTTTTTGTTATCGTACAATACATGCAAGTATAAAATATAAGTAGTATGCGTGTAGACTAGTTGCATGATGCAACTAGTCTACACGCATACATCTAGTAGCACGCACGGAAACACCGTGCAGAAGTCTGCCGAACTTAAACGACGTTAGACGATGTTAGGTTTTGGGGTGTTAGTTTTATTTTCGTTACGGAATTTCTTGATTCGGTCGCCGCGCTCAAAGCCCGCGATAAAAGCTATGCAATAGCTTAAAAATATTATTATTAAATCAAATTACATATCCATGTAAGATTTTTTCTGCATTATGTTGACGAAATTTCCTTTGACGTTCGGCATTTGATTTTGGTACTGTTTCTTTTTTTTTCTTCATTTTTCTTCAAATCTTTCTGACGCTGATAATATGCCCTTTGACGTGCATTAGTTTTTTTTTCTTTTTTAGCTCTTTACGCTTTTCTTCTCTATAAAACGAAAATATCTAGGTATAAATAATAGGTATAAATAATTAGGTATAAATAGTGTAATGACACACCAAAACAAAATTATTCATTTAAAAAAAATAACGATATTAAGAAGTGATTATCGAATTTCGCGCGATGTACATTTATACAGATATAATATCATATATACTTTCTCGGCGCGGCATTAATGTGCATTATCTATACACCAAAAACAAAGGTACTGAATAGTACACGTGCTTGGTTCGATGGCTTCTGTTATATACATAATTTATATATATATATATATATATATATATTTATATACGTGGTAGAGCCATGCTGCAGTTATATTAGTAGTATAGTTGTAGCACGAATGGGTCGGCTCGACCGGGGAAGGACCACGCTCTCACAGAATACCAGCGTGAAATAGTAGCTTAATGCTGCTGCATTTCGTATGGTGAGTGTAGAGAACCGGAGACCCTTTTTACTGGAAACGAGGCATTCCATCTTAGTCCTCACGGGTGACAACGCATCTGCATTTTGATTCGTAATCGAGGATAGATGTAGATGTCTATGGGCCACAGCAACCACTTACCATCAGGTGGACTGTGTGCTCGTTTGTCACCCTATCCTATAAATATATATAATATATATATATATATATATATATATATATATATATATATATATATATATAAATATATACAGGTCATTTTTAATTTACTAAAGACCTTTTGGGAATATAAAATGAATGAATACCAACACATGTTACAAAACATGTCTTGACATCTCGGTCGAACAAGTTACTCTGTTTTAAAAATCGCTCCGTATTTTTATATCAATAATCAGTGTTAAGTTAAACGAATCTTAAAAATCTTTTAATATTCTATTTGTGTGGTATCTAAACAATAAGACTGTGAATAGTGTATAGTACAAACTCCAAAATTATAGCTGTTTTCGAAATAAAAGTGAACAACAATTTTACCACCAAGAAATTAATCACAAGTGTAGGGTAAGTGGTAAAGCCAGCAGCGCAGAGCATACGCGCGGTTAAGTGTTCGACGTAACCGTGAAAGCCGTCTGCAGTGTGCGTAACGTATCGCAGAGTCGATATTTTCAAAGACTAGTGCGGTGCATATTGGGCAGTTTGGCATAATTTGTATTACTATATCTGAGACGATATATTAATTACCTAATTGGCCATGAAGTGCGCAGGTTGTCTGAAAGTTACTAAGAATGCAAGTGTCATTACATGTACATCGCCAAAATGCGAAAAAACATATTGCTCGTACTGTATTAATTTAACATCAGTTACAGTGGAGGGTAAAAAGTGCTGGAAGTGCCCCGAGTGTAGTGCTTCCAAGAAAAAAGGCGGCGATAACACCCAAACGCCAATACGCTCCAACCCGGATTCGCAAAACGTTACGATGCGCAAAAAGGATGTCTCTGACTGTCAGACTCCTGAGACAGAAATAAGAGAATTAACAGCGGTAATCGCTCGCTTAACTAGTGAATTTTCGACACTAAAAACAAAGTTGGATAAAGTGACGCACTCTCTATGCCATTGTCATGAAAGGATGGACGAGTTAGTGCGGGGCATGTCAGCCAATGAAAATCGCTTGACAAAACTAGAAAAAACGCGATCAGGAAATTATAAACTTGCACGCATCTGTGGCCCATCTACAGAATGAGCTCAATATACAAGCACAACAGGGGCTCCGCAACGAGATAGAGATCGTCGGTATACCAGAAGGTAATAACGAAAATCTAGAACATATTGTTAAGGTGGCCGCTCAAAAAGTTGGAGCACAGTTGGAAGACGTTGACGTGGACTGGATTACCCGCGTTGGACCTCGGCGCCTGGCTGTACCACCTAATGTTCCGGATGGTGGCATTAGAATGCCCCGACCCATCGTAGTGCGTTTGCTCCGGCGATCCAAGCGCGACCAGGTACTAAAAGCCTTCAAATCAAGAAAGACCCTCACCAGCGCAGACCTGGGAATAATTGGCTCGCCGATTAAAGTTTTTTGTAATGAAAGACTTACGAAAGAAAATAGACTTTTGTTTCGCGAAGCCAGAGCGAGAGCCAATACCCATGATTACGCTTTCTGCTGGTGCAACCAGGGTGCAATATATATTAGGAAACGAGAAGGGAAAGCTGCAACACTTATTAGAACTAAACACGATCTGGACCGTCATCTGCCAACTAAAGAGGATATCTAAAAACTATTATAAACACATCGTATCTCTATTTTTCTTGAGTGGTGCAAAATATATGTCAGTCTTTTTGAATTATTCTGTTTCTGATATCTTTTTTAAAGGACCTTATTCAATTGCACTCAACTGCCTTACTGTAATGATTGAAAAGATACCAAGTTGTACATGTTTAACGGCATTGAAATCTTGGGTAAGCTTTTGTACTTTAATACTGTATAATCACATTATCACGAAAAAAAATTTATGAATCATATCTTCAGTATCATACATATTGATATACATGTTCATATATATATGCATACATTTATTATAACTATTTATTTAATACACTTCTTAATAATAATCATATTATATTATACTATTTGTATACTGAGTATAAATGCTTTAATAATTCTACACTCCTATATTACAACAATATTTGGAATAGAATTCAAAGATCACTCATCAGTACTTTCAAACACCTTATCACTGCTTTGGGAAAATAGTGAAGCAAAATTTAAATGTGCCATTGAATTAACATATGTATGGTATACCTTGTTTTTGGATAACTTATCGAACTAAAAGAGATAGATGATAATTTTGAATCTGAATTAGACTCGATAAAGATTAATTGCTATAATGTTAGTGAACTAGAGCTGTGTAAAGCCAAATTTTCTCAAGAACATAACTTTAAATTAATAAATTTAAATATTAGGAGTATTCAAAAGAATTTTGATAATTTCTTGGTAGCGATGCGACGAACAGGTATTGTTTATGATGTTATAATCTTAACAGAGTGTTGGCTAAATGATATGATAAATATTCACCAGCTGCAAGGATATAACGTCTATAAATCTGAAAATAACTCAAACCAAAACAGTGGTGTTGTAATTTACGTTAGGGACATATGGCGAGCAACGGTTTCCGAACCATGTATTAACAATTCTAGTTGTTTAGCGGTACAAATTCTAGACATGATTTCTATACTAGCTATCTATCGCTCTCCGTCCTGTAGAAATATAGGAGATTTTCTGGCATCACTTGATTCCTATATAAATTCCGCAGCTAACAGATTCCCCCTTGTAATTACTGGCGATATGAATGTCAATTTATCGGATACTACAAACACTCAGGTTTTGGAATATCAATGTGTTATGGCGGAATATGGTCTACTACCGGCTATTACAGAGCCTACCAGAGGAAAATCATGTCTCGACCATATCTATCTTTCAGATTCTGAACTAAGCCGGAAACCAGTCGGCATTGTCTGTCAGTCTGATATAACAGATCACTATCCGGTTATGTTGGGTCTGAATTTAAATAAAATCAAACCCCTGCGGCCGAGCCGAACAGTTCTCAAAAGAGATTTTGAAGGAATTAAAAAAGACCTCTCAACTTTTGACTGGGCTGTAGTTACCGACAAAAAAGAGGTGAATGAAGCGACAAGCATTTTCACAAATATATTAATGAATACATTAAATAAGCATACGCATGAAGTGAGACTAACCAGAAGAGAATATAATTTAAAACCCTGGATCACACCGGGGCTCATCAGATGCATGAAACATAAGGACCGACTTCACCAACGCACAAAGCTTGAACCAGATAACGTTCCGCTTAAGGTCACCTATACTAGATATCGGAACTTTTTCATTGATCTCTTGCGTAAGTGTAAATTAGATTTCGAAAGCAATAAACTAATCGAAAATAAGAATAACCCACGAAAACTCTGGAAGTCAATTAAATATTTTCGTAATTTTTCCAACAGTAAAAATGATTCCACAGAATTATTAGACATGAAATGCTCTGATATAACACGTTCCCCACTTGACTTATGTAATAACTATTTCTCAACGGTAGGAGTAAACCAAGCGAATCAAACACTTAATAAAATTAATAAAACTGAGACAAATCTTGCCAGTAAAATACGAATCAATTGTAACCTCACAGAATCATTTTTCATGACTCCCACTGATCCCAAAGAAGTTAGTGCTATGATTATGGGATTACAGAATGACAGGGCTCCTGGTATGGATGGCTTAGCTAACTCTTTAATAAAACATATAAAAGATTCGATCATCCAGGCACTCACCTATATCTACAACCTAAGCCTAGAAAGCGGAGTTTTTCCATATGATTGGAAACTTGCATCTGTTTGTCCTATTTATAAGGGATGTGGCTCAAAGACAGCTATAGAAAATTATAGGCCTATCTCGCTATTAGGCGCTTTTTCAAAGCTACTTGAGAAGCTTGAAAACAAAAGGTTAACCGGATATTTGGAATCTCGACAGTTGATCTCGCAAGGACAATTCGGTTTTAGAAAAGGTCGATGTACTGAAGATGCTGTATCCCTTTTAACATCTACGATATCATCAATACTTGACTCTAAACAGAGCTGTGTTGGCGTTTTCTTAGACTTAGCCAAGGCCTTCGACACAGTGTCAATTCCAATACTTTTAAAAAAATTAAACTATATGGGTGTTAGAGGTATTGCCGGTGATTGGTTTCAGAGCTATCTCACGGACCGGAAACAGTGTGTGAGGATTGGTCGGGCTGTGAGTCTGCCACAAAATGTACCTTTTGGTGTACCGCAGGGCAGCATACTTGGTCCTACGTTATTCACAGTCTATATCAATGATATACATGACCTACCCATGGAAAATGCCGAAACGATATGTTACGCCGATGATACTGCTATCGTATTCCATGGCTCAACGTGGAACGATGCTTTGTACAGTGCTGAAAGAGGTCTAAAACAGGTCTTTATTTGGCTACAAAATAATCTCTTGACCCTAAATACCAAGAAGACTGTGTACTTATGCTTTCATAAGACAGCAGTCACTGCGCCAGTACAACAAACAGTGGTAAAGATTCATGAGCCTTCTTGCACAAGCAAATCGTGTGCCTGTGAGACCTTGAGTAGATTCGATGTAATTAAATATCTCGGTGTCCTCGTTGATGATAAACTGACATTTGAAAATCACATAATAGCTCTCTCGGCTCGAGTCAGGAAGGTTATTGGTGTTGTAAAGCATCTGCGGGACATAACGGGCTTAAATACTCTAAGATCTGGGTATTTTGCGTTATGCCAGTCGCTTATAACTTACTGTATTACTTGCTGGGGAAGTGCAGCAAAAACTTTCCTGATCAGAGTTGAGAGAGCGCAACGTTCGGTTATAAAAGTAATGTTAAAAAAGCCGTATAGATATTCAACTTTTGATTTATATAAGGACAGTGGACTATTAAATGTAAGACAACTTTTCATATTGAAGACCTCCCTAACTGTTCATAAGTGTACACTGGCATCTCCAGAGTATAAGACATTGTTGAAACGAAGAGTATTCCGCTTGCCAACTCCCGCTATCAACTCTGCTTTTTCTAAACGTTTTGGGCAATTCGTGAGAACTCAAGTGTACAACTCCGTCCTCAAGTATTGCGATATAAAAGAAAAATCAGTGGTGGAAGCTAAAATAACCATAACAAAATGGTTACTAACTCTGAGCTACGATAGTACAGAAAACCTAATTAAACCGTAATCTTTATCATATATTTACGTAAATAAAATATATGAATACAGTATGTAATATGCATATGTATCTATAGGAGTTCTAATGCATATATGTTTTATTAATTATTGTAATATTTGTGAATAACAGTATTTTCTTTACTAACAATATTATTTTACCTGTAATTACTTGTTTTTATACATATTAACTTAATATAAATATTTATTTCATTTTATATTTTATTTTATTTTAAAAACAAAAAAGCTTACATAATGTAATAACCGTACGTCGACCCAGTGTCAATTAATGAAAGCCACGTGTGATAAGAAAATCGTATCAGGCCCTCACGACACAGGCATGCCTAGTGTGAGGACCACAGAACTATACACCCTTGTTTATACACTCCAGCTTAGTTGGTGTGATATGATCATAGTTTATAATAATTGTATATTAGAGAATTAAGACTACTGTGCTTGCATTTTATTGTCTTATATTGTATATTGTGATCTGTACCACCTTAGCTGTAAATAAACATTTTTTCATTTTCATTTTCATTTTCATATAATGGTGGCATAATTACAAACGATTTTAGCGAGATCACTCTTTATAGAATGTAATACATTTACATAAAAGCTACTTTTAAGTTTTTATCGTCATGTCTGACTCCTTTTGAGCCTGTATTTTGTAGTACCTAAACAATTTCAGAATACATAGTCACATAAAATGCCTTTTTTTATTTTACACTTGATATCAGTATCACACATCATGTTGAAAAATCAATATACATAACTAATTAGATAGGCAAATAACATTAAAAAAATCACAAATATTAAAATGAGCAATAGGTAATTATAAAGTAACCTCTTCGACGCGCCGCCTTGCTAGGCATGTCGATTTAAAATCGATTAATCGAAAAATCGATTCTTTGGAGTAAAATTACCGATTTTTTAGATCGATTCGAAGCACCGCATCGATTCACTGAATCGATCCAAAAACCTCTTGAATCGGACTGATTCATTTGATTCAAGAACTAGCTAAAATTCCCAAACTGGCTGGGTTTTTTTACCACAGTTTTTTAATTTTTTGCTATTGGGGGGCGCAAAAACAACCGGTCGTACTTGGTTGATAATTTGAACGTAATATATACACTATGTAACGTAATTAACGCACACCCTCAGACACCCCAATTAGTATATTATATTATAATCATAATACGTAGTACATACACTGAATTTTTAGTTAAACATTTTTATGCACTGATTATTTATAAAATTAGTTATACTAATTTCGCAAGAATGTTGTGGTCACAGTACAAATCCACGAACACAAAGACTTTGCTTGAAATAAAATTCATTTTTCTTTATTTTTATTGAATGACAGAATTAGTAATAATACAAATAAAACTGCACTCTTAAAAGTCTCATTGCCTTAAGTTACGGTCCATCTCAGCTTGTTTTGACTGTACAGATTTAGTGTGATTGTGATTTACATAGTTTTAATTATTTTTGGGATAAAAAATTA